TAATACTATTACTATTATTATTATTATTATTATTATTATTATTATTATCATGAGTAATTATTATCATTCGCAGCTCTAATAATTTGAGTTTGTAGTTTCTATATATGAACTATTTTTGGGGATTTAATTAATTGTTTATATTGGGTTTTTTTTATTGCCTTTATAGGTGTTAAGTGCAACATGCGTACGGTTACTAATCTATTTAGGCTTCTTGTGACTATTTTTTAAAATACGGCACATTCTTTATCGAACCAACTATTTATTTATTTTTTTTTTTTTTTTGGTGATTTATTTTTATCCTGTGTATCACTCCTTAGGCATCCTTTACAAAACATACTTACGCTGTAGTAATAAGTGAGATTGCTTCATCTATAGAACCTTCGGCAATTTCAATGACGATGTCATTTTTAATTTATGTTATAAATCTATGTTCCTACTTCTTATTAATTGTGTCTAGATATGCTTCTGACCACGTGTATTTGTCCACATATCCGGCTATATTATTTTCGAAGTGACTTATTTATGCTTCCTTGTGAGCTGATAAAAGTAAATCTATTAGTTTTTAGATGATCAACCTTTCATTAACAAATTTAAGGTTAGATTCTTTACAGAAATCTAGTAGTTCGATGCCATATGTAATTTCACTGTTCTCTGCTATGTGGTCAATATTGTATCTTTTTTCAATATCAAGTATATTATCAATGTTTTAGGCTTCGTTGTTCCACCATACAGGGTATTGGTCGTCGACTATAAAATCGTATTCATTTCCAGTTCTGCCATAAAATCTCCGACCACAAACAACGTATTATAATGTGCACTATAATAGTTTGAATATTCGGTAGTTGGAATATTCATTAAGTCATTTGTGGCATAGGGAGAACTATTGGCGGTCTATAGATTACTGAAATTATAATATATTCATTAACATTAATTTTAATACGTATCCATATTATATTATCAGAATCGCTATGTAATTCATCAATTTGATACGATGATTTAAAGTAAGCCATGATGCCTGGATTTCTACCATGTTTTTTAATTTTTTTTGTTTAATTTAAAATACAATTATACCTTTTTATATGTAATGACTCATTTTATTTCGTCCACGTTTCTACCAGACATATGATGTCAAATTGACATATGTATTTAAGGAAATCCCCATCTTTTATTTTGTCAATCAATCCGTTTACGTTCCAAAAGATAACACGGATTTCGCATTGCTTTGTTTTATCTCTATCAATTACATCATCATATTCGGGGCATCGGCAACCATATTATTTTTTGTTAAGGTTCACATAGAGATCACTTTCTACGTCATATATGTAGATATACTGATCAATAAACGCTTTATCGAAATTAAGTTTACAATTTTTCCCAGATTTCTTTTCCTGCTCTATTAATTCGATTAGTTTTTTCCTTATTTTCCTTACTCAATATTTGTAATCTTCACCTACACGCATATCAGTGTTATTGTCCCAATTTATAAAAGAAAAAGGAGACCGCAGCGACTTTAATAATTATAGGGGCATATCTTTAACATTTTGTATATCCAAAATATTCATTATTTATAGAATAATTGCAAAAAATATTTCTAACTAAATGCAGGGAGGTTTTCGTCCTTTGTGTCGATGCGAAGATCATATGTTTGTTCTTAAAAGTATAGGTAGTTGTCGTCTACAACAAGGAAAAAATACATACATTGCCTTCCTGTGCTTCCGAAAAGCATTCGATAGTATATGGAGATGGTTTGATGAAAGCGGTTTGGAATTCGGATATTAGGGGCAAGATATGGAGAATTATAGATATTATGTATGAACATGTTAAGGGTAAGGTTTCTTTTGGTTCCATTGATACAGATATTTTTGATATTTGATCAAGGTGTAAAAAGGGGTGCGTCTTGTCACCTATGTTGTTTAGTATATTTATAAATGAATTTACTAAAATTCTAAAGTCTAACAAATTGGGTACAAGAGTTAATGTCACATGGGTCGGTAGTCACTTTTGGGCTGACGACATTGTACTCTTAGCTGATAATGAAAATGAAATGGAAAGAATTTTAGAGCTTGCAGGAAATGTTGCAAAAGAATGGAAAATAAGCTTTAATTTTTAAAAATCAAATGTATTAATAACTAGTAAATATATAGCAAAGTGAAGAAATGGAAACTAGACGAAGGTTCTATATCAGAAGTAGAATCATACAAATATTTGGGTGTATATATATCCCGTAAATTGAACGACCACATACAATTTGATGATGTCATTAAAAGGGACCATAGGTTAATAGCGTACATCAAATAAATCATTAGTAACTTCGATAATTTTAATATAAGTCTTACTATGGTGATATTCTGTGGAGAACCATTGGACTACCATCTATGAATTATGGTTGTACAGTTTGGTGCTCACTAAGCAGAATAGACATAAATAAATTAGAACGCCTGCAATTGCAAATTGCACGATTTATACTTAGAGCATCCATGAACACACCTTGTGCAGCACTATATGGTGAACTTGGATGATCCACCATTAATGATCTTCATCAAATTGCTCGTGTGAAATACTTTAATAGATTGATTACTATGGAAACATACCGATGGTCTAAATGTTTATTGGAATGTTACAACTTGATTATGAGTTAAAAAACTTACGGTACAAATTTCTGTCTTCCCTAAATGATATTCATATGAATGTAAATGTAAATCAAATTATATATTCACAGCTCTGTTGAACAATATAGAGTTTATTATCCATGTTCCAAAATCTTGAGGAAACTTGATATAATTAGGATAGGTACATGGAGAATGGATCTTCAAAACAAATAATCTCTTCAAGAGTATGTGTCATTGAAATTAAAACCTGAACTCGAAAATTACCTTATTGAAAAAATTAATTTTGAAGGAATTGCATTAAAATTTAAACTCAGATCTAATACCTTACCATTAAACAATAAAACTTCAAAATGCAATTTGGATAATAACAAGAAATGTAAAATTTATGCAATCTTAATTCTGATGAGGATATCCGCCATTTTATTTTTAGTTGTCCGGCTCTAAATAACATTTGCATTGACAGAATGTATAACCTAAACAAAGATTTAGTACAAACTGGCGACTATGAACTGTATTATAAATTCCGTAACAAATGAAAATACTAAATTTAAATATATTTTAGGATGTTCGATTCTTCCTAATAACTGTGAATGTGGGGATATTTTTGATAGATTCTGCAAAAGGTACATTAAAAGGGCATTTAAACTGCGAAGTGAAATTATAAATTCCATGCCCTAACTGTAACTATGCTTATCTTAATTTGTTTTCTTCTTTCAATTGATTGTTTGTATCCACATTGCTATATGATATGAGGGTACAAAGAAACAAACAAACTAAATCTTTAATTATTAAGCGAATCCGTTACTTGTTCCATTCTCACTATAATAATTAAAAATAATAAATAAAATATTTTTAAAATAAATGAAAAAATACTTATTGGGAGGGAGACATTAGAAGTATTTTCAAATTTAACTCTATAGGTTGAGAGAGGATCACTGGAGGAGAGTAGATGTTTTGCTCTCGTTAGGAAGATGAACATTTTGTATGCTATTGATGAGGGAAATGTATGCTTTCAGGGATGTTCGGTATTCTGAACATCTATGTTTGTTTTTAAATTTTTATTTATTTATTTTCAAGCATATGGAAACGTTGTATTTGCTCTCCAAGGTCGCCTTAACCATTGGAGAAAATTGGATTTTTTTTTGGTACAAAATCTATGATTTTCTTGTAATGGCCCAGGCGGATTATGTTGTAAAAAATATTAATCTACCAATGTGTGAAGAAAAAATGAACAAAATCCCTACAGTTTTGTCGGAATACGCCGATTTATAACAGCTCCTCACGCCGATTTAGATTTAGAATTGGCCCAAGTGGATTCGTGGAGAGAATGTAATAAGCTTGAAGCTGATATAAAACTTAGTATGATTGGTTGGGTAGTTTTATCGGGAAATAAGAAAATATAAAATCCATCCAATCCATGATTGCCTCTCATAGGGTCAAATAATCTCTCAAGTGTGACAGTCCGATTCACTTGTATGACGTCATACTACTGTTTTCTTGACTTGTGTTCGCAGTGTTTGACTTCTTTCTTCGTGTAATTTGGCCTAATTTAGTTATCAGTTGGAATTTTTGTGTGCTTTTATTACCTTTATTAAAAAACAAATGTCCCAAGACAAGATACTTGCAGCAATTAGGCTATATTTCTGCAAAAAAATGCAATTTATAGTTTGGACCGTTTGCAAATTTCTGTAGGGGTGTATCGTAGGGCTAAGCCAATCCCACCAACACGAAAGTGTGGACAAGGGGAAGAGAGATCTCAGCATTTGTTTACTTTACATTGTACTATGTTTACTGTTAACTATGTGTTCAAATACAAGTTTTAACAAAAGAATATTGATTGTGAAAATTGAGTTTTGTTAGTATTTAACCCCATAATGAAAATGAAACAAACCCAATGTTTTTAATTGGTCGATCCAAACTGCTTGTACAGTGGGGTTGATTTGAGCTCAGTTCGCTGCTTTCGTGATAGCTGGACTAGCAATGATAAAAAGTGGCAAAAACGTTTCCATATGTTTAATTCATTTTCCATTGTCATTTACTGCTTTTAGAATTTTTATTTTAAAGTTTTGTTTACTTTATATTATATATACGGGTCACTCAGGTGATTGACATGGCTATTTCGTCCGTCATTTCGCTTTATTGAAGCATCATTTCATATAATGCTTTGATGAGTGTGGGTGTTGGATGGGGGTGGGGGTGCTTGTCAAATCCTTGAGTGACGTTTTACTCAATTTGTACAATGATTTCTTTAGTGTACTGTATTCTGTTTGAAGTTTGTTTACTTTTATTTTTGGACGCACCTTTATCATGTGAAGTGTGCCACTGTTTCAAAAGTGTAGTTTCCGAATAAATTATTTTATTCATTACAATAAACATAGATTTGAGACTTACCTCTAAACATGGGGGACGCTCTCCAAACTGCAATTGGACCTTCACTACTATATTGGCTAAGGCTTACCTCCATAAAGAAGACCGGCATACCGACAAAAAACAACATAATGGTGTAGGGTACAAGGAAAGCACCTGGGGACAAGATGTTTAAATTATATTAATTTATTCAGTCAAGATAATTAAAAGATCTTAAATAATTCTAATGAAGACTATATTGTAATAGCCAAGACATTAGAGTCGTTAAATTTGAAATGTTTGTATATATTATAGGATAAAACACAAGCAAAATAAATTTGAAACATAATTTTCTGTAAAAGAATATGTTATTTTCTACAAAAAAAATGCGTTTTCCTATTTATAAGATGATCACCTGACTGATTGATTGATTGAGTATTTATTAAATAAGTTCTACTTACCTCCACCGTTGGAGTAAGCCAAGTACGGAAACCTCCATACATTTCCAAGACCAAAAGTACTGCCGAGACAAGACAATATGAACTCACACTTATTGGACCAATTACCATAGTTTGGATTCTCATCATTTTCTTGATCACCCTTCTATTGGAATAACAATAGTTATTGTTCTTTGTTACAATAACAAATATAATGAAAGACACTAAAACCAGATTGTAATAACTCAATGGCCGTTTGCTTGGCAACAGATTTCATCTTAACTCAACGCTAAACACGGCGGCTGGATGTGACAACAGGGAATAAGTTATGTACGTCATACAACATCTCCCTTTCTTTAATTTTTATAATTTTTTTTTAAATTTCATTTATTTATTTATTTTTTTAAAATTTATTTATTTATTTATTTATTTTTATATTTTTAACTATAGCATAATTGCTTGCATGTTTATGTGATCACAGTATTAATAAACAGAAATTCTCTATATGCCTGTTTGCATTATTTTCTTATGTGTCAGTTGGTAGTTTCATATTAATTCTATCAGCCGTCCTCTTTATGATGTTGATGATATCTATTATTAAGTCATATATGTTATTTATTTATTTTATCTTATTTTTTATTTATTTATTTTTTAATAAACATTAACACGAACATAGGGGAAACTCCCTGCTAGAACTTTGTTACAAAGTCCTTGAATCGATTCGGCATTGTTATGGTTCTTTTGGGCCGAGTTGGTATGATTGGGGTTGAAACTTCTGTTTGTTTTCTAGTTAATGGTTGTTGTTAGTTTACTGTGCTCTTGTCACTTGTTCCGTTTTGTTTAACTGGTACTGGGATGTCCGTTGTGGATGTGATGTCTGATTTGTCGGGTGCAAATGTTGGCATTGTTTTAGCAATGTTTCTTGCTGCCGTTGTGCGTAGAAACTTTCTGTTGAGACGATAAACCTTGACATTTGTAGTTTCTACTAAGTAAGAACGAGGTCCTACTTTTTTCGTGCAGGTTGCTGTCTGCCATTCCTGGTTGTTGTTTTCAGGCTGGAGTCTGACAGTTCCCCCGATGACAGGTTCTGGTAGCTTTGTTGCACTTTCGTGGTACTGTAGTTTTGATATCTGTTTTCTTTTCTTAATGTGTTCTGAGACTCCAGTAACTACTTGTGGTTGTTAGAAGGATTTCTGTTACTGGCAAAAGGGTATTTGTTCTTCTAGACAACAGTCGTTGTGCTGGGCTGTGTCCTGCATCGTTTGGTGTGTTTCTTCAGTCAAGAATTGCAAGATATAGATCGAATCCTTCTTTCATAGTTTTCTTGATCAGTTTCTTGGCAATCTTAACTGATGCCTCTGCTTCTCCATTATTCTGACCGTGATAGGGAGATCTGGTCACATGTTTGAACTCCCACGTCTTTGTGAATTCAGCAAATTCTCGGCTAACCCACTGTCCCCCATTGTCTGTGATCAGTGTTGATGGTATTCCTTGTAGAGCGAAGTGCGTTTTGCTGCGTTCAATGATTGTTTTAGATTTTGATCTTGTAATTCATCCAGAAACTACACATCACTGTAGTGATCTACTGTTACAAGGTAATCTTTGCTCCTATACGTAAGTATGTCTTGAGAGATTATTTCCCATGGACTGGTAGGAATAGGGTATGACATCATTGGCTTTCTTCTGCTTGTATTGGTAAGTTTAGCAGATCTGGCACTTGTCTACTATTTCTCTGATGTCTGCTGACATTCCTGGCCAGAATATAAACTGTCTTTAGCTCTTCGAATTGATTCTTCAGCACCCAGATACTTGAATGAGTCATTTGCAACAGATTTTTTCTCATCTCGGTAGGTACCATGACTTTCTGTCCTTTGAATAAGACACCATCTTGAGCTGTTATTTCTTCTCGATAATTAAAGTGTTCTCGAATATTGATCGGAACTTCTGCTTTGGTCTCTGGCCACCATTCTTGATCATCTCCATTAGTGTTGTTTGGCTTTGACTGTCCCTAGCTGTTGCTTGCTTCAGCAGGTACTGGGTTGGCTTACTAACACTGATGTAGTCAGCTGCATTTCTCTGTTCAATTTCTTTAAATATTTGTCTTCCTTCTCATGTCTTGGTAAGTATGCTCTGCTTAACCAATCCGCTATGTACATCTTACTGCCCTGCAAGTACTGGATGTCCAATTTATATTTCTGCAACCTTAGCAGCCTCCGTTGTAATCGCTTTGGCGCTTTGAATATAAGCTTCTTGTGTATAGCTACCAAAGGCTTATGATCCGTGTGTACCGTGATCAATTCCCTGGCATTGATGTACTCATCAAATCTTTAACAAACAGTATACTAAGTAACTCTTTTTCTACTTGAGCATAATTTCTTTCTACTCCTGTTAATGCTGTGGATGCGAATGTTACTGGATACCATTTTTTAGTAGAGTAGCACCTAACCCTGATTCTGAGGCATCAGATTGTATTGTTACTTCTTCTTTGATGCTGTAGTATTGCAGTACAGGTGCTGTAGTCAACATCTGCTTTATCTTGTTGAATGCCTCTGTGTGATGCTCCATTCAGTCAAAATGTGCCTCCTTGTCTGTGAGTCTTCTCAATGGTTCCGCTCCTTGGGATAGCCAAGGTAAGAACTTAGCAAGATAGGTTACAAAGCCTATCAGCCTCTGTACTGCTTTCTTGTCGTCTGGTACAGGCATCTCATTGATGGCTTTGACCTTGAGTGGGTCTGATTTCACTCCCTCTGGACTTAGTATATGTCCAATATACTTGAATTCTGTTAGCCTAAGTTTCATTTTGCTCTTGTTCAGCTTCAGATTTACTTTCTTTGCTCTTTCAAGGAAACTGCTAAATTTGGTATCATGGTCTACAATCGCCTCATCCATGGTTTCTCCACAGCCATATTATACTAAGAAGTCATCTGCCACAACTTGTACTCCTTTTGATCCTTCGATTAATTCATGCTGCCTTCTTTGGAATTCCTCCGGAGCTGTCTTAATTCCAAACGGAAGTCTTAACCATTTGTACCTTCCAAATGGAGTAGCAAATGTTGTTAACTCACTACTTGCTCCATCTAACTTCACCTGCCAAAAACCATCCTTGGCATCCAGTACGGAGAAAACCTTTGCATTTGTTAGTTCTGGCAAAATTCCTTGAACTGTGGGCATAGGGAATTGTGGACGTTTTAAAGCCATGTTTAAATCACGTGGATCTAAACAGATTCGCAACTTGCCTGGTTTTCTCACGACCACCATATTGCTGATCCAGTCCGTAGGTGTAGTGACTTTTTCTATCACCTTTTTGGCCTCTAATTCTTGCAGTTTCTGTTTTACATCTCCTTTTATTGCAACTGCAATTTTCCTGGCTGGATGCTTGGATGGTGTGATATTTCTGTCAATTTCAATGTGATACTCTCCCGGTAGTTCTCCAAAACCTTCGAACACTTCATGGTATTGTTTTAGTATTGTCTTTTCCAGTTCGTGACTGCTATCTTTCTTTTGAATCTGATTAATATGCTTTGCTACTTGTATCAAACCCATTTCTATTGATGTAGAGCTTGATAACAGTGGTGCTTGTGTGGTGTCAATAATCTTGAAGGTTACTTCTGACTTCTGCTTATCATGTCGGCAGGTTATGTTAATTTCTCCTGTTACTGCAACTGCTTCATCATTATACATATTCAGTGCTGTTGATGAAGGTCTCGTATTCGGCTTGTCTGTACCTTCCAGTGTCTGCAGGTCTCGATATGACATCACGTTGCATGAAGCACCTGTGTCTATCTGACATTTAACTGCCTTGACCTCTCCACTGGTGTTTTGTAAGTGCAGTGATACCATTAGTTTGCCTTTATTATTATCACATATAGCTCCAACTGTTTCAACATTGAAGGCTGAGTCATCTGAGTCAGTGTCTTCTACTCTATTGACAACTGCCTTTCTTTCTTTTGTTCTACACATCTCTTTGAAGTGATTCTGTAGACCACATTTTCCACACTTTTTTCCGTAGGCTGGGCATTTTTCTTTCTTAAATTCGTGAACTTTCCCCCAATATCAACATGTACCTGACCGTGTGCTGTTACTCTTTGTTGTAGTGGTTTTGCCTTTTTTTTTTCCGTTTTTTTTTTGTCAAAATGGCCGCTAAAAAATATGTTCCGCCCTTTTTCTGGAGGATCTCCCTCGATCAATTTTCATTTTTATACCCTAGTGATGCTAAATCAGCAGTGAAACATTGATCCCAGAAAAATGGTCACAAGGCCCCTCATTTTCACTATACAGTATTATAGTGCCAGTTTCATAGAATCCATCAGCAGATTTCCTGGAAACTCAGTGAAACTATCAATACCCAGACACAAAATGTAGTCTACAGCTAATATATTTCATTTGCCCACAATGAAAATTTTATTGGCATCATGTGGGCTAAGTGTCCTAACTGAGGTGTGAATTTTCCAAAAATCGAGATATATACTTTTGTGATATTTTGGTTCAAATGTCAAGGTCACGTGACTTGACATATATAGTTCTCACTAGTCCGGACATCATCGATTTGCATATCATTGGAAAGAGAATCTTCTTCTCTATCCTACGGTACCAGAATTTCTCCAATACGTTGAGAGAGATATCAGCGGTTGTCTGTCAGAAGGTGAGTTTTTTAGCCAAATCTCATGAAAATTTCAAATTGCTCTAACTCATCAGAAAATGCTGGCGCGGAACCAAAAATTTCACTGTAGGGTTATATCAGGTAGAACCCCCAACATGCAAAATATTGGGCGATTTGAAGAGGGTCGGGCAACAAAGTGTGTTGGATTCATATGAAATGACTCAAATAGAAGAATGAAACAACTTAGATAACTGTTGATATTAAAAATTTATCTTAAAAGAAAATGAAATTGTTTAAAATTCTTGCATGTATAAAGCTAAATAACACATTGCAATTTTCATCATTCCAATACTGCTACTTATGTTTTATATTATCGCCATTATTGTAGTATAACAAAGCCAATACCGTACTATAGGTGGTAGGCCTAATGTACCGAAATATCAGGCGCATGCCTCAGTGGCATTATCACAGTGTACTGCACAGTGCACGCGAAATAGGGGACTGTTTGCGGTATCGTGTTTTTAATGTAATGCTTATTCTTCCGACCCCTAAATTCTTTTTCTTTT